GTCTCTTTGGAAAAATGCCTATTCATGTCTTCTGCCAATTTTTTAAAAAATATTTTATTTGAGAGAGAGAGGAGCAGAGGGAGAAGCAGACTCCTCCCTGAGCATGGAGCCTGATGTGGGACTCGATCTCAGGACCCCAAGATCATGACCTGAGCCAAAGGCAAATGCTTAACCAACTGAGCCACTCAGGTGTCCCTTTTGCCCATTTTTAAATTGGATTATCTGTTTTGTGGGTATTGAGTTGTATCAGTTTATTGGATATGTAATTTGCAAATATCTTCTCCCATTCTGTAGGTTGTCTTTTAGTTTTCGTGATTGTTCTTTTACTGTACAGAAGCTTTTTATTTTGATAAAGTACCAATAGTTCATTTTTGCCTTTGTTTCCCTTGCTTTAAGAGACATTAGAAAAATGTTGCTATGGCTGAGTTTAGAGAAATTGCTGCTTGTAGTCTTTTCTAGGATTTTCTTTTCTTTTCTTTTCTAGGATTTTTATGGCTTCAGATCTCATATGTAAGTTTTTCATCACTTGGAGTTTATTTTATTCTTATTTTTTGGTATGGTGTAAAAGAGTGGTCCAGGTTCATTCTTCTGTGTGTGGTTGTCCAGTTTTCCTAACATTTGTTGGAGAGATTGTCTTTTTCCCATTGAATATTCTTGCCTCTTTTTCAAAGATTAATTGACCTTATAATTGTGGGCTTATTTCTGGGCTCTGTGTCCTTTTCTATTGATCTCTGAGTCTGTTTTTATGCCAGTACCATACTGTTTTGATTACTTTGTAGTATAACTTGAAGTGCGGAATTATGATACTTCCAGCTTTGTTTTTGTTTTTCTTTTTCAGATGGTTTGGCTATTTGGAGTCTTTCATGGTTCCATACAAATTATAGGATTATTTGTTCTAGGTCTGTGAAAAATTCTGTTGGTATTTTGGCTGGGATTGCATTAAATCTGCAGATTTACTGTTCATACTACCCAGTATGGACATTTTATAGTATCTGTTTTTCCAATCCATGAGCATGGAATAATTTTTCATTTGTGTCATCTTTGATTTCTTTCACCAGTGCTTTATAGTTTACAGAACACAGGTCTTTCATTTTCTTTGTTTTTATTCCTAGGTATTTTATTATTTTTGGTGCAACTGTAAATGGGATTGTTTTCTTAATTTCTCTCTGCTGCTTTATTTTTAGTGTGTAGAAATGTGATGGATTTCTTTTTCTTTTCTTTTCTTTTTTTTTTTTTAATTCATGAGAGACCGAGAGAGAGAGAGAGAGAGAGAGAGAGAGAGAGTCAGAGACATAGGCAGAGGGAAAAGCAGGCTCCATGCAGGGAGCCCCATGTGGGACACGATCTTGGGGCTCTGGGATCACGCCCTGAGCCGAAGGCAGATGCTCAACTGCTGAGCCACCCAGGAGTCCCTGTGACAGATTTCTGTACATTTATTCTGTATCCTGCAACCTCATTGAATTCATTTATCAATTCTAGAAGGTTTTTTGGTAGAATCTTTAGGGTTTTCTATATGTAGTATCATGTCATCTGGAGATAGTGAAAATTTTACTTCTTCCTTACCAATCTGGGTGCCTTTTATTCCTTTTTCTTGCCCGATAGCTGTGGGTAGTACTTTGGGTACTGTGTTGAATAAAAGTGGTGAGAGTGATCTTAGGGGGAAAGCTTTCAGTTTTTCACCATTGAGTATGATATTAGCTGTGGGTTTTTCATAGATGGCTTTTATTATGTTGAGGTATATTCCCTTTAAACTTACTTCATGGGGGATCCCTGGGTGGCGCAGCGGTTTGGCGCCTGCCTTTGGCCCAGGGCGCGATCCTGGAGACCCGGGATCGAATCCCACGTCGGGCTCCCGGTGCATGGAGCCTGCTTCTCCCTCTGCCTATGTCTCTGCCTCTCTCTCTCTCTCTGACTATCATAAATAAATAAAAATTAAAAAATATATATATTTAAACTTACTTCATGGATTTTTTTTTTAAAGTCATGAATGGATGTTGTACCCTGTGAAATGCTTTTTCTGCATCTATCATGTTGATTGATGATTGATTTGTGGATATTGAACCACCCTTGCAACCCAGGAATAAATCTCACTTGATCATAGTGAAAGATTTTTTTTTTTTTAAGTATTGTATTCAGTTTGCTGATATTTTGGGGAGGATTTTTGCATCTATGTTCATCAGAGATGCTGGCCTGTAGTTCCCCTTTTTTGTAATGTCTTTATTTGGTTTTGGGATCAGGGTAACACTGGCCTCATAGAATAAATTTGGCAGTTTTCCTTCTTCTATTTTTTGGAATAGTTTGAAAAGAATAGGTATTAACTCTTCTTTAAATGTTTGGTAGAAGTTACCTGTGAAGCTTTCTAGTTTGTATTATTGTTTGTTGGGAGTTTTTTGATTATTGATTCAACATCATCACTGGTAATCCGTCTGTTCAAATTTTATATTTCTTCCTGATTCACTTTTGGGAGGTTATGTGTCTCAAAGAATTTATCCATTTCATCTAAGGTGTCCAATTTGTTGGCATATAATCTTTCATTCTATTTTCTTACAATGCTTTGTATTTCTGTGGTAATAGTTACTATTTCTCCTCTTTCTTTTCTGATTTTGTTTATTTGAGTCTCCTCTTGTCTCTCTCTCTCCAGCTAAACATTTATTGATTTCATTGGTCTTTTCAAAGAACTAGCTCCTGGTTTCATTGATTGTTCTTTCTTTTCTTTCTTTTTTCTTTTTTTTTTTTTAAGAGTTTATTTATTTGAGAGAGAGATAGTAAGAAAGAACATGGGGGGAGTGAGGAAAGGGAGAAGCAGGCTCCCTTCTAAGCAGGGAGCCTGACTTGGGACTCAGTCCCGGGACCCTGAGTCCATTCCCTGAGCTGAAGACAGACACTTGACTGACTGAGCCACCCACGTGCTCTGTTCTATTGTTTTGTTTTAGTTTCTATTTGATTTATTTCAGCTCTAATCTTTATTATTTCCTTCTTTGTACTGGTTTTGGGTTTTGTTTGTTCTTTTTCTAGTTTCTTTAGATGTATGATCAGTTGTTTGGGGTTTTTCTTGCTAATTGGGGTGGGCCTTTATTGCTGTGAACTTCCCTCTTAAAACATCCCAGAGATTTTGGACTGTTGTGTTTTCATTTTCATTTTTCTCCACTATTTTTTAATTTTCTTTCTTGGATGACACATTCATTGTTTAGTAGTATGTTGTTTAACTCCCATGTATTTGTGTTTTCCCCAGATTTTGTCTCGTGACTTTTAGTTTCATAGCATGTGGTCAGAAAAGATGCATGGAATGACTTTGGTCTTTTTGAATTTGTTGTGACTTGTTTAATGGTCTATTCTGGAGAATGTTCCATGTATATGGAATGTGTATCCTGCTATTTTATGATGGAATATTATGAATGTATCTGTTAAATCCAGATATCTTGGTTCTTAATAATGGTACTATGATGGTCATTTCCTACAGTGTACATAAAGTGGTTTAAAATTATAATTTATTTTCACTAACAAGGATACTGAAGGAAGTCCAGTCTGTCTTTGTAGCTCATTTTATCCAAAGAATACACAGATACCACATGTTAAGATCAGTTAGAAAAATTATTCTCTTGTAGTTTTGTTTCCAATTTGATAAAAATATATATTTGTTGATACTTATTTGCAACTGTAAGAACTGTCTTCCCTCTTTTTGATTATGTAAGATATTTACATGATTCAAAAGTATAAACTAACTTGCTTGCATCCCTTCTGCCCTGTTCTTTCCCTCCTGCAGAAATTACTATTTTTACTGTTCCTAGCTCATCTTCTCCGCCATTCTTTTGGAGATACAAGCAAACTCACACCTGTATGCTAACCCTTGTCACCAAGCCCTTCATTCTGCCTCTTGCCCTATGCTTCCTAGAGGTCAGCGTGCCTTGTCTTCTAATGTCCTTCTCAAATTGACATATTTTGTTGTTAATTTCTGGAATAAGGTCTGAAGTCTTTCTTCCTCCTGTCTGATATCCTTTCCCCCTTTTGTGTCCTTTCCCTCTTATCCTGATCTCTCCTCTCTTCTCCCCTCCTTCCCTCTCCCTCCCCTCTCCCCTCTCTCTCCCTGTCTCTTTCTTTCTCTCCTTCTCATTACATTAATCTTATGTGCTGAGTGATTTGGGCACTATTTTTGCACTTTTCCCTCAGAGCAAAAGTCTGTGTGTCTGGGAAGGACTGTTTTGTTCCTTCAAATTCTCATGTTCTCAGGTGGCCACAGTGCTGTCAGGTCAGGTAGTGACTTTGGGATTGTTCTCCCGTGGGGGCACACATCATGGGGACTTTGGGGATCTGCAGTGTGTAGGCCATTGGAATTTTCCCTCATTGCTCACTCTTCTCTGTTGGGATCTGTCTTCTGCTCTCGGGTCACCTCTACATATATCTTGATGTTTGTGAGGAAACCCTGTCACCTAGACCATGTGTGTTTGTTTGGTGTTGATGTCTATGGGCTTTTTCTTGTACCATGGTGATCAGTCTCTTCTGCGTTTATTGGAAGTTCTTGGAAGATTAAAAAACTGCACTGCTGCCCTGATGCCACCCTACTCTCAATGTTCTCACCACAGCAAAAAATAAGACTCACTGAGTGAGATTAAGTGAATTGTTCATGGACATGTAAATAGTGAGGGAAGAAATTCTAACTCACTCTGGCTCATTCCAGATCTCTTGCTTGCATACACCCACCTGAGAACAGAATTGTTACTCTTTTGCGTCTGGTGTTGTGTTCTTAGTGAAGTTGTTCAGCTCTTAGGGTGGTTGCTGCATCTTCAGGATTCCTGGTGGCTGTGCAGAGCTTTGGGGAGACTGTTTTCAGTGTGTTGGGTGGCCATCTGCATTTTGTCTCGTGTCTGCCTCACAGCGACACTGAACACAGCGTGCAGAACACCCAGCCTGGCCTCATTGGGGAGTGTTCACCAGCAGATGAGCCGAGCTTGGGGCCCAGAAGAATTCTGGTCATTAAAGCAGATTTGCTCCTGTGTCCACAGGTTCCACCTCTCCAGGAACAAGATAGTTCATGCAACAGAGCCCGAGAGCTCCAAGGTCAGGAGTCCATCCTGGGTCAGGGGACTGATGAGCAGAGGCCTCTCACTGGAGGACTGCGGCAAAGACGCGACACTCACAGGACAGAGCAGGTTCTGGAGTGGTTGTTTATTTCCCAGGAGCAGTCAAAACCCACCCAGTCTCAGGTGAGTTGCTTGCTTATTTGTTCCTACTTCTGTTCTTCATACTTCTCTCTCTCTCTCTCTCTCTCTCTCTCTCTCTGGTGGGGAGAGGGATGTCGATCCTTAGGTCAAAGGGTTAAGTTAATCACTCTCAGTTCATGGTCTCTTTATCATCACTGGTCTGTGTAAGGTCCCCATCTATCTTTATTTACATATTTTCTGATTTCCCATGCTCAGTTTCAGTCTCCTTCCCCATTCCCCCAAATTACTTTTTTTATGGATTTCTTTTCCTTATATGTGTTCACACAATATATATTGTTATTGCTGTCATGTATTTTTAATTTATGTTAATCGTGTGACACATGCATCTTGCAATCTTGTTTATATTTTTCTGTGAGTATGTTGTTTCATTAAACACCCTGCTCTTAGGTTTACTGCTCATGCCACCAAGAGCAGTGTGTGTGAACGTTCTGTGCCTCCCAATCTTGGTCTATTGTGAGTCTTTTGAATTTGAGCCATTCTGCTGGTTGTATGGTAGTGTCTCTGTATGGGTGTAATTAGCATTTCCTGCTAGCTAAAAAGGATGAGTACCTTTTATCATGCTTATTTGACCTTTTGTTGCCTTTTGTGTTTTCTTTTTTCTTATTTGTTTAAACGAATTTTTTTTTATATTCTGGAAGCTTGTTAGAAATGCAGAATATTATGCCCCCCCCCCAATCCTGTTAGAATCAACTCTGCATTTTAACAAGATTCAGTGATTCATACCCATGAAGGTTTTAAACTAACTTGATACAAAATCCATATTCAGGTTTTACTTGGGGTGCTTTTTTTACCTCCAACATTCTGTTACAAAAATTTTCAGAGAGCAAAGTTGAAAGGATTTTAGTGAACCTCTGTGTACCCATCACCAGAATTAACATTAACATTTTACTAAACTTACTTATCACAGTATCTGTCTTTTCTCTGTGCATCCATTGACCTATCTTATTTTTGGTGCATTTCTTAATATATCTCAGATACCATCATGCCTCCTCTAAATATTTCAGGGTAAAAAGTATTAACTCTTATTCAGTTTTTTTTTTTTTGCTTCCCTTTTCATTCTGTTAATGTCTTTGATGAACAGATATGTCTAATTTTAACTTATTCTGATTCATACTTTTTTTTTATTACTTGTGCTTTTTAGGTCCAATTTTAAGTGCTTTTCCCTTATCCAAAGCTCATGGAGACATTTTTCTTTGTTATTTTGCCTTTCACGTTTAGATTTGTAATACATCTAGAATGAATTTTTACGTTTGGGGTGGATAGGAGTCAAGATTTATTTTTTCATAGTGCAGTGCAGTGATTGGTTTCTACCTCTGGCTCTGCAGTGCCACCTTTGTCATCTGTCAGGTATCCATAAATATGGTTTGGTTTTGTAACTCTTTATTCTGTTACACTGGTGTCACGAGCATGCTATGAATGTGCACACTTGGGCTGTGTCAGCTTTAATCAGTTATAGAACAGTTCACATAATTGTGAAGCAAGTTCAGGGTCTCAAGCTCATTCAACTTGGCTTCATACACAGAACACAGAGCAAAGCACAGTACAAAGTCCCACAACAAACCAGATACAGTAAAGGGTAAGAAGTTACTAACCAAACACAAAGTCCCAAAGTCTGTCTGTGAGTGTGCTGTTGAGATGAGCCCGGGTCCCTCTTGGCATGTGCTTGGTATTATGTTCAAGCTGTGGAGAGTCTGTCCAGTGGCAGCAGTTGCTTTTTGATACATTCAGATGTGAATGACTCAGCATCTGAAGAGTGACGATTTGCTGCAAAATCTTCCCTATTTAAAGGAGTTTAATCAAGGGCACCTGGGGGGCTCAGTTGGTTAAGTGTCCAGCTCCTGGTTTTGGCTCAGGTCATGATTTCAGAGTCCTGAGATCAAACCCCTGTTGGGCTCTGTGCTCAGCTGGGGGTCTGCTTAAGATTCTCTGTCTCCCTCTGTCCCTGCCCCCCACTCACTTGTGCTCACACACACACACACACACACACACTCTCTCTCTCTCAAATAAATACATAAATCTTTAAAGGAGTTTAATCAGTCTTGGACCTCTGTTGGCCTCTTCTTCTGCTGGCTTTCAGCTCTGGGTGCTGGTTTCCATGATTTCTGGTCTTAACTGCAGTGCCTTTGGCTGCTTGTTGCATCACCACTTAGCAGAGTGATTACATCTTGTTCTCTGCAATTGGTCTTCTTTTCTGTCCTTGTGCCAATATCACACTATCTTTATTTATAGTAGGTCTTGATATCCAGAGGCTTCCAGTTTTTGATGATTACAGATGCAGTCAACATTCCTGTATGGGTTTTTGTGTAGACATGACTTTTCCATTAGTTGTGTAAATAGGAACATGATTGCTGGATTGTATGGTAACAGTGTATTTATCTTTGTAAAAAAAACTATCTTCCAAAGTATCTGCGCAATTTTGCATTCTTACCAGCAGTGAATGAGAGTTCCTGTTGCTCCTCATCCTGGCCAGTGCTTAGTGTTGTCGGGTTTGTAAAATTTTACCATAATAACATATGTGAGGTGGTATTTCGTTGTGATTTTAAATTGCATCTCCCTATGGCTAGTATTACTGAATATCTTTTAATATATGTTTTGCCCTCTGTATATCTTTGGTGAAGTATCTGTTCCGTGTCTGATCTTTTCCCCAATTTTTAATTGGGTTGTTTTCTTGCCATTAATATGTAAGGGTTCTTTACATATTCTAGATTCAAGTCCTTCATCAGAAAAGTGATTTGTAGGATGCCTGGGTGGCTCAGCAGCTAAGCATCTGCCTTTGGCTCAGGGTGTGATCCTGTGGTCTTGTGATCGAGTCCCATAACAGGATCCCTGTTTTCTCCCAGTCTCTGGCTTGTCTCTTTCATTTTTGTAATACCAGCTTTCACAGAACAAGTATTTTAATTACAGTAAATTCCATTTTCTCAATTTTACTTTTTAGAATGGATTGTGCTTTAGGTGCCATGTCTAAAATCTCATTACCCACGCACCTGGCTGGCACAGTCAGTGGAGCATGCAACTTTTGATCTCTGAGTCATGAGTTCAAGCCCCATATTGGGCATGAGGCCTACTGAACAAAATGAATAAATGAAAATAAAATCTCATTGCCCAAACCAAAGTACACAAATTTTCTCTTCTATTTCTGTAGACTTTTTTTAAATAGTTTTAGAATTTACATTTAAGTCTATGACTCATTTTTAGTTAAATTTTATATAGGGTTGGGTTATGTGTTGAGTTTTATTATGTCTATGGATGTGAAAGTATTCCTGCACCACCATTTGCTGAAAATATTTTCCTTTCTCCATTGAATTGCCTTTATGTCTTTGATTAAAAAAAAAATCAGGAGACAATGTTTGTATGAGTCTATTCCTAGGCTCTGTTTTCTGCTTCATTTATCTTGTGTCTGATCTTTCCCCACCATCACACCAACTTGATTTTATAGGAAGTCTTAAAATGGGCTACTGGAAATACTTCACCTTTGCTCCTCAGAATTGTTTTGGCTATCTTTTTTCCTCTGCTTTTCCATATTAATTATAGAGGAGCTTGTGGATAGCTATAAAAACTTGCTAAGGGATCCCTGGGTGGCGCAGCGGTTTGGCGCCTGCCTTTGGCCCAGGGCGCGATCTGGAGACTCCGGATCGAATCCCACATCAGGCTCCCGGTGCATGGAGCCTGCTTCTCCCTCTGCCTGTGTCTCTGCCTCTCTCTCTCTCTCTCTGTCTCTCTCTCTCTCTCTCTCTCTCTCTCTGTGTGACTATCATAAAATAAATAAAAATTAAAAAAAAAAAAAAAAAAAAAAAAAAAAAAAAAAAAAAACTTGCTAAGATTTTAGAGTTCGTTTTTATGTATGAGGTTGGGAAGGATCCGACTTCATTCTCTTTCATGTGGACACGCAGTTTTCTCAGCAACATTTATTGAGAGGAATTTTCTTTCCCCATCATGTGGTCTTAACACCATTGTTGAAAATCATTTGAGGGGATCCCTGGGTGTCTCAACAGTTTGGCGCCTGCCTTTGGCCCAGTGTGCGATCCTGGAGTCCCGGGATCGAGTCCCACGTCAGGCTTCTGGCGTGGAGCCTGCTTCTCCCTCCTCCTGTGTCTGCCTCTCTCTATCTCTCTATGTCTATCATAAATAAATAAATAAATCTTAAAAAAATTTTTTTTAAATCATTTGACCATATATGTAAGGGTTTATTTCTGAATTCTCTAGTCTATTTCATTGGTCTGTATATCAGTCTTTATGCCAATGCTACTTTGCTGTAATTTGTATAGCTTTGTAGTCATTGTTGAAATAGGGAAATGTGAGTCCTCCAGCTTCATTCTTTTTCTATATTGCTTTGGCTATTTAGGGTCCCTTTATTCCATATGAATTTTAGGATGGGCATTTCTGTTTGTGCAAAAAAAGTGTCAGTGGGATTTTGATAGATATTACATTTAGTATGTAGATCACTGTGAGTAGTATTGGCACCTTAATGATAAGCCTTCCATCCATGAACATACACTATGTTTGCATTTATTTATGTCTTTTATTTATTTATTTAAGATAAAAAAATAATTTATTTGAGAGAGAGAGAGAGCATGAGCAGGGGGAGATGGAGAAGCAGACTCTCCACTGAGCAGGGAGCTCAATGCAGGGCTTGATCCCAGGACCCTGGGATCATGACCTAAGCTGAAGACAGAGGCTTAACCAACTAACCCACCAGGCACCCCCATTTATGTCTGAAAATTTATTTCAGCAGAATTTTCTAGTTTTCATTCTACAAGTTATTTACCTCCTTGGATAAGCATTTATTCCTTTTTATTTTTTTAAGATTTTTTTTATTTATTCATGAGAGACACAGAGAGAGGCAGAAACATAGGCAGAGAGAGAAGCAGGCTCCCTGCTGGAGCCTGATGCAGTACTGGATCCCAGGACCCTGGGGTCACTACCTGAGCCCAAGGCAGATGTTCAACCACTGAGCCACCCACGCATCCTGCATTTATTCTTTT